CAAATCTCAACAAATAAATGCTCTGTCTTACATATTGGCAAAAAAAATCCGAAAATAAAATACAAGCTGAATAGTCAAGATCTTGTTGATGATCCAAGCTCTGTAAAGGACCTTGGAATACTCACCTCTAATGATCTAAGTGCTAGTGCCCACTGCAACTACATAGCCAAAAAGGCATTAAGAGTTGTTAACTTAATCTTACGTAGCTTTTTCTCTGGTAATATCACACTACTAACTAGAGCATACAAAACATTTGCTAGACCAATACTCGAATACAGCTCATCAGTCTGGAACCCACATTACGTATCTGATATTAGCACAATTGAGAAAGTCCAGAAATATTTCACAAGAAGAGTTCTCCACTCCTCTACTCGTTGTAGAATACCTTATGCCACCAGACTTGAAATTCTAGAACTAGAAAACCTTGAATTACGCCGTCTTCGGTCTGATTTAAGCATGGTATATAAAATCATACATTGCAATGTCCTACCTGTCAATGAATACTTCAGCTTCAACCATAACAACACAAGAGCACACAACAGATACAAACTCAAGGTTAACCGCACCAAGCTTGATTGCAGGAAATATGACTTCAGCAACAGAGTGATCAATCTCTGGAATACTCTACCCGACTCTGTAGCTTCTTCCCCAAACCCCAAAAACTTTAACCTTAGACTGTCTACTATTGACCTCACCCCTTTCCTAAGAGGTCTGTAGGGGGCATGCATAAGTGCACCAACGTGCCTACCATCCCTGTCCTATTGTTTCTTTTATTTTTCTTTTATTTTTCTTATATGTACCCATTTCATGTATTCATAACTATGTATACACTTATACTTATTATCTTGTAAACAATTGACAAATAAAATAAAATAAAAATAAAATATAAATGCTCTGTCCTACATATTGGCAAAAAAAATCAGAAAATAAAATACAGGCTGAATAGTCAATACCTTGTTGATGATCCAAACTCTGTCAAGGATCTTGGAGTACTCATCTCAAATGACCTAAGTGCAAGAGCCCACTGTAACTACATAGCCAAAAAGGCATTAAGAGTTGTTAACCTAATCTTACGTAGCTTTTTCATTGGTAATATCACACTTCTAACTAGGGCATGCAAAACATTTGTCAGACCAATACTTGAATACAGCTCATCAGTCTGGAACCCACATTATGTATCTGATATTAACACAGTTGAGAAAGTCCAGAAATATTTTACCAGAAGAGTTCTCCACTTCTCTACTCGTTGCAGAATACCTTATGTCACCAGACTTGAAATTCTAGTCCTAGAAAACCTGGAACTACGCCACCTTCGGTCCAATCTAAGTATAGTATATAAAAGCATGCATTGCAATGCCCTCCCTGTCAATGAATACTTCAGCTTCAACCATAACAAGACAAGAGCAAACAATAGATACAAACTCAAGTTAATCGCACCAAACTTGATTGCAGGAGATACGACTTCAGCAACAGAGGGGTCAATGTCTGGAATACTCTACCTGACTCTGTGTTTTTTTCCCTAAACCTCAAAAACTTTAATGTTAGACTGTCTACTATTGACCTCACCCTTTTCCTAAGAGGTCTGTAGAGGGCGTGCATAAGCGCACCAACGTGCCTACCGTCCCTGTCCTATTGTTTCTTTTTATTTTTCTTATATGTACCCATTTGATGTGTTCATAACTGTGTATATACTTACACCTATTATCTTGTAAGCAATTGACAAATCAAAATTAATAAATAAAATAAAATAAAAAATGACTCTGGAAACAGGCTTGAGTCCATTTCTTTCCTTAGCTTCCCTTTTCTATGTTCTAGGGGATTCTTCAATTGTTCTTCCTGCTTTGGGAGAAAAAATAAGTGATCCAGACCTGATGTTCAAAGTTCTCCAATATACCAACTGAAGGAAACATATTATTGATAATTTTAAAATGAATTATTGATATTGAGCTCCCCAAAGTGGACAGGTGTGATAAGTAGGTGCTTTGGGTTGGGGTGGGCATTGAGAGAGAAAAGGAAGGAGGGGACTCCTCCATGTAGAGGAGCTACTTCTGCATCTTCCAAGACTTTGCACACAAGACCTGGGATAGAAGCCCAATTCTTCCTGACCCACTAAGCACCCTCCCTCCTCCTGAAGCTCCGCCTGATTCCATGGGACTGGAACAGGGTGGGGGTGGTCAGGGAGCAGAGCAGCAGTGGCATCCCCGATCCCTACTTAACCAGGTATGCTGGGGGGGGGGGGGACAACACAGCACCCAGGTCAAATGGAGAATAGGGAGCTTGTGGTGAGTTTGCCCATGTGCTACCCATGACCGATGGGAGAGCCATGGAACAGAATGGCCAGCTTCTCCCCCAGGCTCCATCTTCTTAGGGATTCGGGGTTGGGTGTGTACACTTAGGTCTAAGAAAAAAAATGGAAAGAAATGCTGCCGCCCAGTTCTGGGCCTCTAGCCGCACCTGGTGCAACACACACCCACACACCCACGATGCAGCATCCTTGGTGGCCCACCAGAGAGGGGCCCTTTCGGCGTGCAAACCAAGTTACAGGGGCAAAACAGGCCCCTCTATTTCCAGTTCACTTTCCCCAGGAAAAGGGCGGTGATAGAAGCCTTTGGTGCTTTGGTGTCATAAACCAGAGGTCTCCAATCTTGGCAACTTGAAGCTTTGCTGGCTGGGAAATTCTGGGAGTTGAAGTCCTTCAGGCTTTAAGTTGCCAAGGTTGGAGACCCCTGTCCTAAATGGCCCACCTCGGTTCCAGGGAGAGCCAGGCAGCCATTCCTTGGGTAGAGAGCAAGGCAGGTGCTTGTGGAGAGTCTCAGCCATCTGGGTCACGGTTCTCCCAAAGGCGCTTTTTTTTTTCCAGGAGGCAGTTTTTCTTTCTGTTTTTCCCTTTGAAGAGGTTTTGCTTCTCATTTAAGAAGCTTCTTCAGCTCTGACAGGATGGTGGGGAATGGAAGGATTTATGCTCCTTGCAGAGAGCCGGTCATTTGCATCCTTTATAGAGAGTTATTGAGGCCATTTGGAGGTTTATCTGTGTCTTCAGGGTCACCTGAGTGGTGCAAATGGTTCCTGTAGTCTGCAATTTTTCTCTCTCTGGAAATCCATTCCTACTCCCACACCATTCCAAGGGTGTTCATCCCAAATTGTATAGCTAAAAGTCTGTAAAGATTCTCAGTTATCTAGGTCAGGGTGTCCCAAAGGTGCTTTTTTTCCAGGAGGCAGCGGGACTTTCTGGTTTTATTTCTTTGAAGAGGTTTCGCTCCTCATCCAAGAAACTTTTTCAGTTCTGACAGGATGGCGGGGAAGAGTGGAAGAAGCTTCTTGGATGAGGAGCGAAAGCTCTTCAAAGAAAAACAATCCAGAAAGTCCCGCTGCCTCCTGGAAAAAAAGCACCTTTGGGACAACGAGGCAGAAGCGATGGGGGAAGGGCGCTGTTTCTAAAGACCGGGGCTCCTCTGTGGCCGTGCGGGGAGGGGTCAACGCCTCAGGGCGGGAAGGCTCCTTCTAGCGCAGCGCCCCTGCAAGCGAGGCGACCGCTTCGCTTCCCCCGCCGCTTCTTTGCTCAACGACCCTCCACACCGGCAGGGGCGCTGTTCCAACATCACCCCCCCCCCCGGCCATTCCCGCCAGCCAATCCGAAGCCTTATTTCCTCTTACGTAAATTTCTCTCGCCCTCTAAATCCTTCCAGCCAATCCGAAGACTAGCTTCCGGCCGAATCCCTGTTACGTTTCAATCACAAGGCGGCCCCGCATGTCCCGGCCCCGCCCTTCCCGGAAGCCTCGGGCCCAGGGAGAGTCCACGCGGCCGGGAGAATCGCCGGGCGAAGCGAGGTAAGCCGCGAGAGCCGCCTCTCTGGGCTGCGGGGCCGGGCTGGGGCAGGCGGCGGGGAGGGCCGGACGGGGACTCCAACTCCCAGAGGCCGCTTGCTGGCTGGGAAAGATGGTTGCCTGCATCCACCGCAGAAAGCGCGCCTTGTTTTCCGGGCAGGATCGGAGACCGGTAGTTGCGCGGATTGGGAGTTCTGTCCTCAGAGCCAGCGGGGCCCCAACCTTGGCCCGCTCTAAGCCTGGCGGACTTCAACTCCCAGAATTCCCCAGCCATCTTTGCTGGGAGTTTAAGTCTTCCAGGCTTAAAGCGGGACAAGGTTGGAGACCCCTGCTCAAAACAGTGGAAGTAAATGAAAAGGTAGGTCTGCAGGCTGTCTAAAGTGCAGCAAAAGACAATAAAAAAATAAATAAAGGCGGGATAGCTTGTATCTGTGAAAGATGATAAGGAGAGACTGTGGGCTCCTTCTTGCCATTTGTTTCTTGCCATTTAGGGAAAGGAGCAACAGAGATTTCCCTATTGCAGCTCTTTTCCTTCCAAGATTTGTACAGAACAACTTTTCTTTAAACCAGGAAGGAAGCATCAGCCTCTGGCTTCTACACGAAGGACGGATATGCTGTATTTTCCAATTGTGCACGTTGACTTAGAACAGGTCTCCAAACTTGGCAACTGTAAGACTTGTAGACTTCAATTCCCAGAAATCTCCAGCCAGTGTAACGTAGCTGGCTGGAGAATTCTGGGAGCTGAAGTCCACAAGTCTTCAAGTTGCCAAGTTTGGGGACCCCTGACTTAAAGTCCAATCCCTGGTGTTGCTGTTACATTCTAGGAATAAAGAGACTTTATGTTGCTTAGGCTTTCTGGCTTAAGATCCCATCATATGTGGCTTGCATATCACGACTCTAGAACTTGAGTGCCTCTCAGTCACTGGATGTTTTTCTCTTTCTAACAGCTGGTGATCATGGAGCCAGAATAAGGACTGATCTCCTTTCAGAACTAGAGATTTTCATTGGGGGCTTGTCCGGCTGAATCATGAGTGATTTTCTGAAAGAGGAGAAGGAAAAGAAGAAAAAGAAGAAGATGGCAGTGAAGACAACAAGCAAAGGGCTGGAATTTGCAAAGAAGCAGTTGAAGAAGCATGGATGGAAAAAAGGTGCAGGGCTTCACCTGTTTTAAGTCTCTGCACTTAAGTAGAGCAGAAAGTTTGCTTACTTTCTTTCTTAATCAAATGTATCTGGCTGCCTGTCTCACCAAAAGCAACTCTGGGCAACACGTAACAAATGGGTCACTTGATGCATTCAGCACCAAGATGCTTCCAGGTTGAAAGGATCAGCTGGTACATCACTGTTGCCCAGGGGACAACCAGTTGGGGTCTCCTTTCATGTCCCCATTTAGGAGCCCACCAAACTGTAACTTATTCAAAGATAAAAGTTTCCCCGGTTGTGTACAACTTCAGGCAGCATTGGTCATCTTCATTTTTTAGCCTAAGGAGCCAACATTGACACTAGTCATGAATATAGATGCTGAGACGCACAGAACATTATTACCTTCCCTCTGAATAAGTGGTACCTATTTACGTGGGCAGGAGCTGGAGCAGAGGATGGGAGCTCACCACGTCACACAGTAGCACTTGGGGCTGGAATGCTGATTGTCAACCCAGTGTTTTAACCACATGAGCCATTATTTATTTAGCATTTGGCTAAATAAATATGGGATAACTCTATGTTAACATTTCACCTAAGTTTGTAAACAGTAAAATATAAATGTTAAAAAGATCTATGTTCAAATACCAATTTCTAGGCCATCTAACCACTGAAGCGCAGCATCATTTATATTAAAAAACCAGATACTGGACTGGTAGATGCCCTCAGCTTTCAGCCAATCAGGATGTGATCTACAGTTTGACATGGGAGCCCAGTCACAGTGAGGGGAGGGTATCAGGCCCCATTGATACAAAGGCCCCGGCAGACACTATATGAGGTGTGACTGCTATTCAGGGTTGTCCATTGCTGATGTGGTAGTTCAAAGCCTAACACCTTTGTTGTGGGGTTATTTATATGTCTTCCTATGTCTGGGTGTTTGGTAACCCATTTGGCTTTCCATTGGGAATCCATGTTAAAGTTCCTGGGCAGATGTTGCGCAAGGGCCAGTGGCAAAGACCTGGATTAGAGTCTTCTGGCTGATAAATGAGGAAGGTCGGCATGCACCGGTAGGAGTGAGTTGTTCATAATTTTTCTGTATTCTCTTCCTAGTACGTCTTGTGCGGTTCAGAACAGGAAGGCAGCAACTCGGAGTGGTTTTAATATATCCACTTATAATCCTCATAGTGTCATTGAGTTTGGCATCTAACTTATTAGCATGGCAGCTGTTAAGCTGTACGAGGGCACAGTATTCTACCATGGAGGAGACCAACCCTCTTGCTGATGACTGAGGGTGGCAGTTGAAGCTCCCCATTTAGTTCCACATAGTTTCTGAAGTACAGTGTGTATTGATTTTTGCTGTTCTCTGGTGCAATGTTACTCCAAGGTAATTTGGATGGGGATTGTAAGGGAGTAAGTGGTGTAAGGAGACCTTCAGGACTTCATAGGCTAGTTTGTTGTTAAAGTGGCAGTGTGCAATTACTGTTTTGCTGGTGCTGGGAGTGAGCCTCCAGTCAGTGTAGAATTGTCCCAAGATTTTGGGATCTTTTTGACAGGAGGCTCTGCCTCCTCTATGTTTTTCTTGTACTGTTATGGCCAAATCATCAGCTTATCCAAATTTACATCCCCTTGTCACTAGCATGTGTGATAGATAGATAGATATATAAGTTGAATAGTGTAGGTGGGCTCTATAATGGCACCTAGACTATTACTATCTTACTTAGGTTGTCCCCCATTGTTAACTGAAAGGACCCATCACTCAGCAAATTATTAATTAGTTGATAGAGATTTTTGCAGGGGATAATATGGCACAGTTTGTATAAAAACCTGTCCTTCCAAACTGTTTTATGCTGCAATTAGGTCTACGAACACAGCCATGGTTTTGAGACCTCGTGTGCTATTGCGCTCCCCCAACAAATGAGTTAAACCACATATAAAACTACTTATAAAAAGCATATATTAAACTATAGTTATAAGAATATAAAAATTACAGAAATTAATTACCAAAATTAATTATATAATATATAAACCTTAGTGAAGATGGAATAAAAATAGCTTAGCAATGCAGCCATCTAAGCACATCTCTTAGGCAGTAATAAACCAAATGGAACTAATCGTTGTTTACATGTTCATGAACTTTAAAGACAGAAAATTAGAATTTGGAAAAAGTTTCTGTCTAAGCTCTGTGTTCCTTGTGGAGTATCTCTAAATTTTACTTGAGTGTCATACTTTTCCATGGCTTCTAGATATTCTGGAACAACAACAACTTGCCTCACATAGCAATGGAAATGCCTGTCCCAATTATAGGTGAAAGTCAAGGACCAATATCAAGTGTAGGTCTAGCTCAGAAATCGTACTCCAAGTTGGTTCCTTGAAGGAGGAGATGCTGCTTTGTCCTTAGGTTCACTTCAATGTGTTTCTTAATGAAAAGGAGGAAGGAATGTTTTTCTTTTCCCCCTTTTTTTTAGGTAAAGGACTTGGGAAACAAGAAAATGGGATTGCTGAAGCCCTAAAAGTCAAAATGAAATGCAACACAGCTGGGGTAAGGAAGGGCCGGACTTTGAGTGGGAGGAGGCGGGATCTCCACTTAGAGGGGCAGGGAAACGGAAAGCAGCGTTCGCCTCTTTTGAGCAAAGCCAGCCTTTTGTTCTAAGGTCGCACTCAGGGCTCACTTGGTCTGCTCCAAAGCATGTTCTTGCCTGCCAGGAGTACCGAAATAACTACAGTCCAGCCTTAAGGATCACTAGTTTCATGTTCTTGAGTTGTAAAATGCTTCTGCACTTGCCTGCTGGACCATAGTCCAGATTTTACGTAAAGTCTGCAGAGAATTATCTACACTTAGTGTGGAACTCCTGGTTAGATGGGTGGTGGGGACAAACTGGAGGCACACTAGAGAATCTGGTGGGTGGTGGACAATTACTTTCTTGTTTTAAGGTTCCTTTCAAGCATGGGAAGTTCTTAATGATTTGGGAGCACTTGAAGCTTGTAGGCCAGACCTGTGACCCTGCCTCCTCCTGACCCAGGTGGGGCATGACTCGGCTGAGGAGTTCACCTACCACTGGTGGGACCACCTGTTCAACTCGTCTGCTGCCAACATTACAGTGGAAGCTGAGCAGGTAAGGGGGCCCTGGCTGGGCTTGACCTAGAGACAGCTTTGCTTTGGCAGTTTGTCACCGAAGGGGTAGATCTTAAGCCAGGGTGTGATCCTGTGTCAACAAGGCAGATGCTAATGTGGGGGAGGGATCAGTATCCCAAAGGTTTTTGAATTTATCACTGTTTTCTTTGCTCCCCACCTCCCTACAAGGTGACTCTGGGCTGCTTACAGGCCATGAAACAAGTAAAAAACAGTTAAAAGATTAAAACAGCGCAATGTTAAAATATTATTCAGAACTGTGATAAAAGTGAACTAAGAGAGCTAAGAGCTGGGCAGGATGAGGTCTCCTGATCCTGTTAGCCACCTCCAGCGATGAGTGCCCTCTCGGGGCCCAGGCCAGCTGAAAAGCCAGGTGGTGATACCCTTCCAGAAGGCCGTTCTCACCTGCAGTGGGAGAATGTTCCACAGGGCTGGGGCTACAGTGGAAAAGGCTCTTCTTGATCCCGCCTGCTCCAATTCTTTAGTGGACGGGATCCCTAGTAGGCACAAGGGAGGCGAGCTTGTCCACCAGAAAGAGACAGCTGCTAGCAGTTGGTGGCCTTTTCTAAACTAGCGAGCCTGAGCAGAGGTCTCTTGCCCTGGTGCCTGGGCATTGGGACCGGAGGCAGCTGGTGCAGACAGGCCCGGATTTGTCCTGGGTTTATCCAGAAAACGTCAGTAAGGTCAACGTGAGGTAAGATACTTTGTGATTCAGCACACAGAGAAACTCCTGCATGGACTACAAGCTTTGGTTGTTGAGGTAGAAATGGATTTATTGAACCGAATGTAGCATACAGCAATTGAACATAGCCGCCTCATTTGTTGATCTGTGTGTACAGTTTGCCCTCTGTGGGGCAAGTCCATGTGTGTACAAAAGTTCTTGCGGTTTTCACCAATATCATCTTTGCAGTAAATACCCTCCGGCCCTTTTCACAAGTGACAGTGCATGGAAGGCTTGTGTGGGCGTAGCCCCACCTCTGAACTGTCATTCCTCCCCCAGGATGGAGTCCAAGTGAGGAAAATCTCTGAGCGAGAGGGGCCAGTCCCAAGGACAAAGCCATGCCGAGTCCAGAAGGGGGACATGCTCTACGGCCGCTTTGTGAAGGTAATGACGGGGGCTGTCATGGAGCACTGGCAGGTCCTGGGGTTGGAGCTTCCCTGGGCAGAGGGGCAGAGACTCGCCTGATTTGCTCTCCTTGCAGGCAGCCACCCTGATATCTGGCACCGAGGAGCCTATGAACCCCACGTCCTTTGCGGACCAGGAGGAGGAGAAACAGGACCTCTCCATGACAAGGAGGTAAGGCTGAGGAGACGCCTGGAGAAACTTTTTAGAGTTGCCAACAGAAAGAGAAGGGGGAGCAGTGCAGCACCTTGCAAACCGAAACTGCATTCCATTGTTGTTTTCAAAGATAATAACTAGGTGACTGGAGTTTCTGCTGTGCAAAATTCTAATGGAGAGCATGATTGATGAGTTTGGGCTATGGACGTGTCCCATTGGAGGATATGATTTACGATACACCCAGGGAGTGGGGAGGGGAAAACCAGGGTCAAGGGTGACAAGGAATGATGTGCCTCAGAGTCGGCTACACTCAGGCAGTGCCGGACATGTTAACTCCCCATAAATCCTTTTTAAGTTTTGGAAGAATGGCTCGAAACTCATGATTTAAATGGGGTTAAGTGCCAGAATCCTGACAGCTAGCTGACCCTGGTTTTCCTCCCACCCCCTGGGTGTATCGCAATTCATATTCTCCAATGGGCCAAGTGTCATCAATCATGTTCTCCAGTTAGAATTTTGCCGGCAGAAACTTCAGTCACCTAGAAACTATCTTTGAAAACATTTGTGGAATGCACTTTCGGTTTTGCAAGCTGCTGCACTGCTCCCCCCTCCCTTTCTGTTGGCAACTCTAAAAAGACCATAGAAATATTTTCTGCATTGACGTTCGACTCCTGTCCACCAGCCAGGCAGTTGCTGACCAGGTCGGTCTCCTCCCCTCCCCTCCCGTCTTTTGCAGGCTGACTGACCAGGAGCTGTTCCAGGCCTGTGGGGGAAGAACAGTCCACAAGTGAGGAGCAACGGGGGTGGGTGGGACCTCGAGGGAAGACCCAGTGCCAGCAGGGGGGGGCTCCCCGTAACTGGTGCTGGATGGGTTGTGATGCAGACCCTCTGAACAGATGGAGCAGGACACAGGGCTTGGCCGGGGGCAGGCTTTGCCCAGTGGGGTTGGCTGTCACCCTGTCCTGGCTCCTTCAGGACCTCCACGGAAGTTCCCTCACAAACGGGACGAGAGAGGCAGCTCAGTCGCCCTGTGGCGCTTCGGTGGAGATGACTCTTCCTTAACCCCGGCCCTTCCCATGGTGTTGCCAGGCAGGGCTGGCAGCTCCTGCCTGCCAACCCTGCAAACATCCAGGTAGGCTCTGCCCTCTGGCAGCTTGAGTGGCCTCACGTCTTGTTCTGACCAGGGCTTCCCGAGACCATAATTAAGCACACGCTTAGTCCAAACAGCTCTTGTTTATTTCAGTGCTGGAAATTATGTTCATTCCCAGCCGGTAATGAGTCCCAAACAGTCCCTCGAGATAAGCACCCACCTTTCTCTCCTTTGAATTGCTGCCAGCAACTAAAGGGCCAAATGAACTGTAAAAAAACAACTGAAGTACAAAGTCCACACAGAGCTTCAAGGATTAACTTCCTGCACTTCCCTTATACCTTAGGGGAGGGGCAATCACCTCCCAGCCTTACTTCTGAGTCGCCCCTTTTGTCTCAGCTGATCTTGCCTTCTAGCAGCTCTGCGCACACGCGCACTGGGAACAGGCTCCCCTTGTTCCTCTGCCTCACTGCTGCCAGACTCCGGAGGCTCCAAAGGCAGCACCCCACCCCCAGGTGGCCCTGGCCCCATCTGCATCGGACGCAGGACCCTGGTTTGAGTCCTCTCTAGACTCCCGGACTGGTCCCCATTCCTCCCCACTGTCCGATTCCGCCGCTGTCTGCACAGGCTGCCGGCAAACCACAACACATCTCTCCTTTGCTGCTTCTCTAGGGGTGCTCGGCACGGCATCACCATGAGGGCAAAGCTCGCCCGGCTGGAAGAGCAGGAAAGGGCTTTCTTGGCTAGCTGTGCCCAGCGGAAGGACGGACCAGGGACGGCCCCCAGTGGCTGCCCAGACCCACAGCACACGTCCCAAGCCAAGAAGCACAACAGAAGCAAAACGGGCTGCTACAGAGAAGAGCCAGGCGGAAGGGGCGGCCTCAAGGCGAAGGCCAAGAAGAAGAAGAAGAAGACGAAGACGACGAAGGGCAAAGAGCTAGACGGGCCCTAGGGAGACGGCCGGCTGAGCCTGGCAGCCAGAGGAGCAGAACGGTTGGGGGGCCTTCAGCCCTGCTCATGGTTTCAACCTCCGGCCCTTGTCTTTGTCCAGCAAAGGACTGGCTGATCTCAGGAGCGCCTGAGGTTGAAAAATGTACAGATAATAAATATTTTTTTCACAAATCGAGAATTGCTGAACTTCCCTTGAAGGCTTGGAAGTCGGAGGCCTCCTTTGCTGGCAGATCTCATGCTGAAAATGTTAAATGGAGGCAAGGATGGCTCAAATTTGACAGTAAAGGTTTATGAAAAAACAGGAGGGCTTTGTGGGCGCAGCAGCTCCTCCGTGCCACTCCCCCCCCCCAGTGAAACTGGCAGAGCTATTCATTTTCAAGAGGCCAGGTGGGAGGGTGCCTCATTTTGGGGAGGGGGGAATATTCTACCGGGTGGGGACAGGAACACCGGCGTGAACCCTTTGGGTTGATGGGTCTGCAACAGGATAAAAGGGAAAAGCCAGCCGGCTAAAGAAATGGCTCCTCACCCCACAGCCAGTTGGTTCCCTGTGTGTGATTGCCCCCCCACCCCCCCCAAGGCCTTTCTGTCTGTCCCTCGTGGCAGATCTCTTCCTAAAGTGGATCCTCTCTCCCCCTCCCCCACATCAATTTCTTATAGTGCCCTTCTTGCATGGGGGGGTGGGGAGCTGTATGGAAAGTTAGGCCTCTCTCGGGGCTTTGGAGTCTTCCCTGGGGTGTGGTTGGTCCCAGCGGTCCCAGGGTCCAGTGAAAGTAGCTGGCAAGTCTGTTTGGTCGTTCCTCTCTTCCTCCAACAGCCACTTGTTGAGATGACCTTGGTCCCCACAGGAAAACTTTTCCTTCGACGGTTAGCTATCTACTTTCCCCCTCCCTTCCGCCCCTCGGGGTTCGTGGCAACTATGAGGCAGCACCAGGTGGCTTCAGCCAGGTTTGCTTCAGAGTGGACCCCTCCTGTATCACGCAGGTTGCCCCCTTGTCTCTGCCTTTCAGGGGAAACCGGGCAGCCAGAGAAGGAGCAAAGATCACCAGTAAAATGTTTCCGTGGAAGATGAGGTCCTTCAGGAAAAGTTTGGAGAAGATTCAGCTTCCCTAATCACCTTCCGTCCCCTCCCCTTTGACCCCCTGCCCCTCAGTTTCCTTTGTGGGGGGTCCCCCTTAATAAATGCTCCCAAACTGCTCTATGGCGGAATTTAGCCTGAAACTCACTACTTTGGGGAGCTTCTGTAGAGTGGGGGGACACAGTGGGGGGGGGTGCGCCTCATTTAAATTGGCAGAAACACTCAACACAACTCCCAACAGTTGCACACAAAAGTGGGACCTGGGTGGCTTATTATGGCTGAAACTGCCGTTGTGAAAGAGCTGCTCCAAAAAGGTGGCAGGAATTCTGCAAAGCGCCCCTATTCCTTGCATGCAGAGGACTCTTCGTAGTAGCCCCCCAAGTCCAAGCCCCTTCCAACGTTTCCGCACCCCTTGCCACGTCTGCTGCCTGGTTGAAGCCAACGAACGTGTGGCTGAGGCCGTCCTGGGCCGGTCAATACCGAATCTGCAAGACCTGCAAACTCGAATCACTGGGGGACATTTGTAGTTGTAAAACGCTCGGCCTTTTAAAAATCCTGGATTATAGTCCACAACACGATTGTCTGGGCATGCAGAATAAATGAAGTCGCACCAACCCAGAGAAACAGGGTTAAGAGAGTTCAGTGTGGATGCTGTGCATGCCTGCTTGGCCATGAATCCCCCTGACCTGGACAGGCCTGGACCAGTTTGTACCATGTTTTTTACAAGACCCCAAATCCTCCCACTGACAGGACACACAGTCCTGCTAAGGGTCCTGCATGCCATTCACAAAGTGAGCTTAGATCTCATGTAATTTTGCTCTGCTCCGTGTACATTTCGGAATATGGATCTCTGGCAGATTTGGCCATCGATGGCCAGCCTGCCATCCTCGGCTGGCATCTGCCAGTAACTTGGAAATTCCTTTCCCACCCCCACTTCAGATGGCTTAGCCTGCACTGGCCATTTGTGGGGGATAGTTGTTGGCTCTCTGTCCTGCAGAGTGGTTAAGGCCTTTCTGGCTGCTCAGGCAGGGGGAGGGGGGCTATTTTGTTGCTTGGGTGTTTTTGAGAAGATGCACATGCACCCCCCTCCGTGGAGGGAAGTAGCCAACCTCTGGGCTTCATCTTCCGCTGGGCTTCCCAGAAGCTTCTTTGGGCTGGGCCTGAGCCAGCTGCTCCATCATCAGGCATCTGTAGATGAGATTCGGCAGATGAGATTCTGCCAAAACGTTGCTACAACTTTAAAAGCACAACTATAATGACGTGGGAAAATACCCGAACAAAGCTGAATGCCATACATGTAAGTACCCGCGAAAAAACAAAGATACAAACTATTATAGTGTAGGGAAGATAAAAGGAAAAAGAGAGCTAAATGCAAGAAGATACAATGAAGTAGCATCAAATATTCTCTACAGCAGTTATAAATTTACTCCTTTTTCTAAAAGTGTAGAAATTCTCAGTCATCCAGGTTGTGTTTGCCCCAAAAGTGCTTTTTTTTTTTCAAGAGGCAACTGAGTTTTTTTCTTTCTTTGAAGACATTTTGCTTCTCATCCAAGAAGCTTCTTCAGCTCTGACAGGATAGTGGGGAAAGGAACTTCCTTTTTTTTGCATAATTTATTTTTATTTCTATTTGTCTTGCTATTAACATAGATATCTGCCATTGTAAACACTTCATTTTTTGAGAAATAAACAAGGGTAGAGTTGAGAGAAGAGCCAGAAGGCTATTCCTGCAGAGCCCGCATACTCAGGATTCACATCCCCACATGGCCCTTTTCTCCCTCAGTTCACAAACTTAACCTGGGGATGTTCAGGGTCACCATTTCCAAGCAGAATTCATTGATCCAACTCATTGGTGTTGGAGAAACTGGCAACATGCCAGGCCTTTTCTATGAGATAAGTTCAACAGAGTTTATTTTACTTTATTGTCATTGCACTTCGTACAACAAAATTAAATACCATCTTCAGTGTACATTAGGACTGAAAATAAACACCAACACACATCCTTTACATTCTATACATTAAATTGAAAACCCCTGATAATTGCGTTAATATTGCACTATACAGTAGACTTCAAGAGGCCAATGAATTTTTCTGTGCATTTTGGAACAGCTCCATTTAAAGCGAGGTTACCCTAAAGTTTTGTCTTTCTGGAAATTACTGAAACTAGAGTGAAGAGACCTTCTGGAGACCCTGTGGTGATGCAGGTGACTTAGAACAGAAAATTGCATGTTTGATTCTAGAATTATGTAATTCCACCCCAATTCTCTCCTGTTTACATGAAGTCCTTGGGAGAGATCGTTTCTTGACACCATCATGCTTAGACCAAAGCTAAGATTGTAATTGAATCAAGACTTCCAAATCCACAGCCCTTCCGTCTTGCTGAGATTCAGTATCAATCCACTTTTCCCCGCCCAGCTCCTAACAGCCTCCAGATACCCACAAGAAACTCTCCTCCGAAGTGGAGATGCATTCCTTGGTGTTGGTACTGCGGAATCCTCGTCTCATGTTGGCAGATGTCAAGCATGGTGGCACCCCACACCGGAAAAGCCTGAGGAGCCCACCGGCTGCTAGAAGCGCCTATTCAGCCAGGAGGTCCACCACAGGGCATTGCTCCCCAGTCCTTCATGGGTGGTCCAGGGGAATACCGTGACCAAAACTATCCAAGGCAGGTGGATCTGGAAGATGATGACCCTTTTGTGGTTGCCACCCCAGCTTATCAACAAAGGCAGACAACCTAATTTGGGCTCCATCTGAAAAAGGTCACGTATTCTCAGTTTATGCAGCCATGTTATTTTCTCAACAGGCTCAAGAAAAGAACTCTTAAGACAGACCAAGTTATCCAAAATCACTAGGCCGGAGAAAATGGCCCTTATGGAGGGAGCGCAGCCCCTCCCCCCGAGTACATCAATGGGTGTTTAGCAAAAGAAATCCCTTTCCTCAAGCGGGACCGACACTCAACCTCTCCAGTTGCAAAGATTGGAAATAACTCAAAGCCAACAAAAGAAACTTGGATCATTGAAAACAAAGAGAATTTATTTTAAAAAAAAAAGATGGTTTGCAAAGCACCAGTGGTCTTTAGAACCTCAAGAAACAGGTTCAAATAAATAAAAAAAACTTCTTTGTACAGATTCATCTCGTCACCCAAGTTTCCTCCTTCTTGTGACTCCTTCCCTCCCAACTTCAAGCTCACTGGATTTGGCCTCAGGTGTTGCAGCTGATTCTAGGATGTCTTCAGGGAGAATGGTCTCCTTCCCTTATATTCTCATCCGTGCCCCTCCGTACCCCTTACTTTGGCTGCCCGCACGGCATCTTTCCTTTGCGTTAAGCAAGGTAGCATCCCTTCATCAGGGCCTCTTTCTAACATCTGAAGATACAATTTTTAAAAGCTCATCATATACTACCGTTTTTCCAAAGAGATTATAGCCCCCCCCCACACATAATAATAATATAAAAGGCATATTATACATAAGATAAAAATATAAAAAGGCTTAACAATGGAGCATGTCAAAAGTATAAAAACAAAGCATGTATATACTGGGAGATATATTTCATTTGATAACAGATTAATAGAATTGGAAGGAACCCTGCTGGTCATCTAGTCCAACCTCCCTTTGTGAAACATTTAAGCATCTTATATACCATTTTATTTTCTTATTTCTTACAGTTCCCTAATTCGTCTCAACAAATCTGATGAAAGAAGAACCGATGAAAGCCTCGCTCTTTTGCCCGTAAGCAGCGCTTAAGGGCCGGAGGGAGACCCGAGACAAGGCCTTCCTCTCTGCTCTTTCCAGACAGGAACGGGGTTGCTTTAGGGCAGGGATCTCCAAACTTGGACCCTTTAAGACTTGTGGACTTCAACTCCCAGAATTCCTCAGCCAGCTTCTCCCTGCTTTAAACTGAGGTGGGAAAGGAGTCCCTGAGGGTTTTACTCCGCTAGTCGCTGCCGACTGCTGGCTTTCGAGAGAAGTGGGGCTGCTTCCCTGTTTTGGCCCTTAGCGGCCACACAGGCGCTCTCTGACCCGGCTGCACCAAGCCCGACGGCCGCCTCAGCATCCTCCGGCGAGACAAAGCGCGACTGCAACGCAAGGAATAGC